TTTATTTCTTTAATATATATATATATATATATATATATATATATATAACATAAAGAAATAATTATACAAATAATTAATTAGAAATGTTAATGTGATTAATTGCGAAGTCTCTTCCCTAACAATTAGTAAGACTTAATGAAACATTAACTTACTATTAATTCCTGGAAAAAGGGATCCTTATATTTGAATTGTTGAACAGATGAATTAATGATCATGTGCCTAGTACTTTAGACAACTTCAAATTGTCATCTTCAGGTATGTAATATTTCCATATATATATATATATATATATATATATATATATGTATATATTTATATATATATATATATATATATATATATATCTATATATTTGCTTTTCGAAAATTATAACATAAACATGTTTGTAAAATTACTACAAAAAATAGCTATTTTGTTTCAACTCTTCTGGTGTCTTATCAAGTGATGGTGTTGAATGTATAATAAAGGGTTACATTCAACACCATCACTTGATAAGACACCAGATGTGTTGAAAAAAATGGCTATTTTTGTAGTGATTTTATAACATATTTATGTCATAATTTTTAGATAAATAATTACATATTTATATTAAAGGCTAATTACATTTAAGCCTACCAACTATATCTTCTGCTTACAGAGAGTAGGGTTTAATGTATAATAATTCTCAAACTTTCAAATGATAAGCAGTTTTAGTCTTACTCGGCGCTGAGAACATGTCCGGCCTAGAAGACCAGATATACGACGGCTGGTTTTTAATGAGATGTTCAGCTATTTCCCAGCCTGACAGATTAACGCACTTATGCCAACATTAGCTGGTACGTGTTGGCTGATCGTCAGAATTTGTAAATTACAGAACTAAATGAAAGATTGGCAGAACATCCTACCGGATCAGTTACAACATAAGCCGGGCATTGAAATCAATACTTAGATTGCCGAAAAAAAAATCATCTTTTTTATATTTCGGTACAGTGTAACCCGGATATAAGAGAAACCCGGATATACGAGATATTTTCTCTAGTCCCAAATTAGAGTCTGTGTTAATGTATATAAAATAGACCAAACCCGGATATAAGAGAAACCCGGATATAAGAGACTTCTCCGGTCCCGACAACTCTCTTATATCCGGCTTACACTGTAGTACCAATTTATTATAATTTCTATTTTTGGTTATGAACTGCTTTTCATTATCCCTACTTTTTTTCTCTAATATATATATATATATATATATATATATATATATATATATATATATATATATATAATAATAATAATAGCTGGCAACTCGTAATCGTACCATTTACCCATCTACTAAGGCTAGCCGCCCTAGTAGATGGGTAAATGGTGACTGAATGATAGGGCTCCAGCACATTTTAGTCACATTGTTCGCGATGCACCGGCTGACATCTACCATGAAAGAGGATAGGTATGGAAGAACCAATTCCATGGCTTGCACGTTCCTCCGACCTCAATCCTTTGGATTTTTATCTGTGGGGGCGCCTAAAAAATGGTTTATGCAGCAGACATAATGTTGTGCCCTGTTTAGGGACCAGAAAGAAAGACACGGAAGATGAAGGTAGTTTGAACAAGTGGATTGAAATAACAGATACATACAAAGCAAGGGTGTTAGTAATAAGCAGATAGAGGTGTACGTCCGAACGGTAGGTTAACACTGCGTCTCCGCTTCCCAACCGACTGCCCTATGACTCTTGCTAGGAAGTCTCGCAGTTAGTATTTATGAGAGTAGGAAGAGTTCATTCTACTGTAGGAGGGTTTACCACAACACATAAATAATGCAGAAACACATCATCAACGTTTCATAGAGGCCTGCGAAACCATTTGACACTGTGTGGTCCCCCAGTCAATGATCCGACGGGTGCATGCGCGTGTAGAAGCAAGCAGAGGACATTTTGAACATTTCTTACGCGTTGCTGTATTTAGGTACAACGATGGCCTTTTGGAAATATGTTTTATATGGACATTTTACCTTGTTTTGGTGTGACAAACCCTTTTCCAAAGTTTGTAAAAGTATTTTTGATACACCCTGTATATATATAATGTATAATTAATATACTTTATATAGTGTTAGTAGATAAGTATTTTCAGACTCTATATATAGCAAATGCCTCCTTGGGCACCTCGAGGGTGTGTATTGGTTAACAAGCTTGTCTCGCTAGAACAATTACGACTTTCGGCCTTGTGCTACATCTAAGCTACGCTTGGGAAATCACTATAGCAAATACCTTCTACAAAATGCCACAAAAGTGGTTTGAGGCATCGAAAAAGCAAATAACACTCAACAAAACCACCTATTTCTTTTTTAAGTGGTCCAATGAAAAATTTAAGATATTTATGCTTTTGTATGAAAGTACTTCAGGCGAAATAGTCTAAAACCAGACAGTCCTAATAGAACTACTTCTTGGGTAAATGATGTTTACATCAACTACCCGGATATTTAATCAAACGCTTAATATTGTTTTAGGCAGCGTATTTTTGGTGCTTCTTATTTTGCGACGTTATTTTTCTTTACTTTTAAATAACAGGAAGTGGAGAGGAAGGCATTACGGGAAAAAAACTGGAAACAGAATATTGTGTTCTTTTTTTTCGAATTCGTTGCTTACAAAGGAATCATTACTTAAATAATATTACAACTGAAAATTAATTTGATTTTTATCATTCGGCGCATATTGACGTATGTAACCTTTTCCAATAGCGTGTCCTAAAAACATGTCGAGATAAGAAAATAACTGTTATTATCTCAGACGAAAAGGAATAATTGGTAGGCGCTGCATTTACAAATAGTCATTTTTTTCAAATTGTTTTTATATCAGTAGATTAAGAACTCCAGATCTCGAATACTAATATATATATATATATATATATATATATATATATATAAAAGTTAATAGTGGTCCGGGTAGTTATGCAAATTCATTGTAACTTAATATCGCCTATGAAAGACAAAACAAAATAGGCTCCTACTTTTGGGATCCGTCTAGCCAGGTTTCTCTTGATATCTGCGTGTCGGGGTTCCAACAACACATCTTTTAAACGAAACATATAAAAGGTTATTTTCTGGAGGAAACGTGGAAGCAGGACGTTAATTGAAATAACATTTATATATTCTTTTCAAAAATATAGAATGACAATAAAATGTTCAATTTTCCTTGCTGTGAAGTTTGTTTTATAAAGTAATTAAGTGTCCTTAGGGCCATGTGAAATTGTGGACTGTCTTCATGACGGTCAGCCTAATGGGTTTGTGAGTGCCTAGACAAAGCCTACTAGTTATCTCTTCCATTGTGTGCATGTTTATGGGTGCGTGTGCACACACGTGGAGATCTAACAGGCCTGCGAAATAGTTTTGAACCTCGAGAAGCAGTAAGCTTCTATTTTTATACCTGTAAGGGAGGTTTAAAATCTAATTTCACATAGAGAGTGAACTTTTTGAATAGGTTTTCATTAGCTAGAATGTAATTTCACACTAGCTAGCGAAAATGTTTTACTCGAATTTTCGGGAGTGGTGAAGAGAGTTATTGTTATTTTCTATATAGTCCAAGAATAACACATGGTGGGTCTACAAGTACTTCCGACAAGTAATTTGCTGATATTTTCTCTAAGTGATTATTGCTTATCAAACAAACCTTCTGCTTGGAATTTATCGGTTGAAAAATAGAAATGGGATTTTATACCTATGCTAAAATGTGATTACTAGAAAAAGAAAAATTAAAAAATTGAAGTTTGTAATGTGGAATTCTTTTTTATATATATTACCATCGAGTAAGCATTATAGATTACGAATTGAAAAATATTTATGTTTCTTTTAAATTTGAAATAACGTTGTGGGGGATCAGTTTAAAATGAATTTGCATAACAACATGCACCCTCTTTTAACTTTGATAAAATTTAATATTTTAAAAAAATAAATATTGATGATCTGGAGAGTTTAATCTATAATAATATGAAAATAAAAAGCGTTTTTTGGTTGCAGTGCCTTTTTTATTTATACCTCACGCACGGACGTCATAGCAGATACGAAATACTTGTGAATATTTAATAAATAATTAATATATGTTCTAATAATAATCTGTTATAATTTGAATTTTAAACGTTAAATTTTTTTGATTTTATTAAATCTTAAAAGTTATAAGAATTTTGGAATTTTTCTTCACAGACAATACAAGCTCTTTCTTCCTCCATAATAGCATGTAAACGATATTGAAATCTAAATTAAATTTAAATCTATAATTATTATTGACGGGAAGAATTGTTGTTCATTGTTAATATAAGAAAGTTAAAAAGTGTTTCAAGCGTACAATTAACAGATAAAAGGTGGGAGTCTTAATGTGGATTAAAATCTAAATTTCTGCCCCTCACTCATTAATGTTTGATATGTTTAATGACGAGTACAGGTTTTCACATGACTGTACTCGCGTGCAAAGTATTGCACTTAACAGTTGCAGTGAAGGTGCAGCGAAACATCTGAGAGCTGCATTGTTGAAATTCACAAGCAGACAAAATTACGTCAGCTTTTGTTTGACAAGAAACAAAACAAAAAACAAAAACAAAACAAACTCTCACATTGTTTCACACAGGATTCGTAAATTTAACAACACAATTATGAAGGTCACATTCCTCTTTTCTGTTTGTTGTTTTCACACAAAGACAAAGTAAATTAAAAAAACCTGAATAGCTCTTTTTTTTTTTTTGTAATACTGACGATGAAGAAAAATATTTCAAAACTTAAGTCGGTATATTTAAGCATTCTTGAAATTGATAGGTGAGATATAAAAATGTACAAGGTTCAAACCCAGGAATCTAATTTTAACTCAAAAAGCACGTCAAAGAAATGTATATTTAACGTCGACATTAATTGGGTCGATGTTCGAGATTAGGAAAAATCATAATTTTGAATGCTGACTTTCAAAACCTTTTGGATGATTGTCACAACACGAGCATCTTAATATTATTTCTCCAGATTGAATCTAATGACTCTCTAAACTAAGCTTTCTTTCTTTCTTTATCTTTATTACTTACAATCAACTCACTATCTATCTATTTATGTCAGCCTATTTACATCCATCTATCTATCTATCTATCTATCTATCTATCTATCTATCTATCTATCTCAGCCTATTTTTCTATCTCAGCCTATTTATATCTATCTATCTATCTATCTATCTATCTATCTATCTATCCATATCTATCTATCTATCTATCTCAGCCTATTTAAATCTATCTATCTATCTATCTATATATATATATATATATATATATATATATATATATATATATATCTCAGCCTATTATATCTATCTATCTATCTATCTATCTATCTATTTAAATCTATCTATCCCAGCCTATTTAAATGTATGTATGTATGTATGTATGTATGTATCTATCTATATATACATATATATATATATATATATATATATATATATATATATATATATATATATCATCTATTTATATCTATCTATCTATCTATCTATCTATCTATCTATATCTATCTATCTATCTATCTATGCTTAACATCCTTTCTTTAATTCCATCTATCTATATCAGTCAATTCATATTGACGACAAAGAAAAATATTTCAATACTTGAGTTAATATATTTAAGTGTCCATGAAATTGAAGGGCGATATATAAAAAAAGTTCAAGATTAAAAACCAGGAATTGAATTTTAGCCTCAGAGCCCACAAGAATGCTCATAGTAAAGAACACACACACTTTTAGAAAATTCAATAAAACTGCTAATTAAGGAATATCTTTCGTTGGTATTTAACCAAATTTTATAAATTAAGAAATACTACAGAAATATACATTAATACACACACACACACACACACACACATATATATATATATACACTAATACTACAAAGGTTATTTTTGGATAACATGAATAAGTCAATAGTCAAAAAATAGAAGAAAGAACTATTACCACGAACATTGTCAATTAGCGACTGTCTATTGTATACATTTTAAAATATTTGTGGATTATTCATAATTAATTTTATTAAGGTTTCGTTTCAATGTTTTCTTATAAATGGCTTCAAGGATTTTTCGGCTTATTTTATTTCTTTTTTGGAGGTGTTTTCAACTAGGATTTTCCTGAATTAACAATGTGGACAGGTATGCTCCTGTAAATGTTTAGAAATGTACGAAAATTTGTCACAAGAATACCTAGCTACCTCCCTTTAATCGATGCTCGCTAGCCACAGCATAATAAACAAATTTTGTTTTCCACAACCAAGAACACTAATATACTTATCCTATAATTAACACTGATGATGACATTATGCTATGTCGAAAGTACTCGGAAATAAATACAATATGAACCAACACGGCTGTTTCCTCTCGTTTTTCAATAATCACACAAAAAAAGCTCATCCGTGAGTATGAAAGGATCCTATCGAGAATAAGTAGAGAAAACATGTCTAAATTATTTAATGAAACCTGCCTTAATGAAAATATGCTGTTGAAATATACCCATATATATATATATATATATATATATATATATATATATATATATATATATATATATATTTTTGTGTGTGTGTATGTGTGCGCGTTTGTATGTGTACGTGTGTGTGTGCAAATAAATAAATATTATAAAATAAAAAATATATAAATATATATATATGTGTGTGTGTATCTGCCATTAAATAAATATTCTAAAATAAAAAAAATAAATATATACATATATATGCGTGTGCGTGTGCAATTAAATAAGGGATAAATAAGAAAACATTATAAATTTTAAATGTTTTGGTGAGGGATCAGTCAGCGTGGAAATGTTTCAGTTTTTAAATCTATATTTTCTGTTTTCAGTTGTAGAATAGATATCACGTGTTCACTTTTGGTGGCGTTAGTATATATGTATGTGTATTGTAATTCTACCGAGCATTATGTGTTTATTTTGTGGTGTCTGTGAGTGTATTGTTCTTGAAATGGTAATGTAATAAAATGGGTATATTGGTATATTCTAAACATTAAGAATGGTAGAAACTAAATGTAGAATATGAAATATTGCACATTCTTTTTCCAACATTGTATTTGCTATATTTTAATTCATAATTTAATGATTGAATAAGCTCCTCGTGAATTTCACGGCTATAAAATACTCTTGAAAAAATGCCCTATTACCTCATTAAATATTTGGAAAAATACCCTATTACCTCATTAAATATTTGAGATTAATCACTTTGACAAAATATTGCAATAACGGCAATTATTAATGCAAGAGGGTACAAATAAAAAGATTAAAAACTAACAATTTTTTTCATTTCATTGAAGCAGACGTTAAACACATGAAAGTTCTTTCTTTCTTTCTTTCTTTCTTTCCCTTTAAAATAAACAACGCTTTTGATATATTTTTGCCTTCTATCCTCGTAATCAAACAGAAATACCCATTGCTTATCTAAGATAAGGCCAGGGCGTAATGTCAGTGATAACTAAATAACTTGGGAAATATAGAAAAAGCAAAATTACAACACGATATATACGTGTTTGTGCGTGTATATATATATTTAGAGAATTTAGCCTGCACCAAGTTGTTTAAAAAAGAGTGGTTTAAAATTATTCATACAGCCGATTCCAACAATCATTTGAAGATTTTGGAATCGGTCTGCATAGGATAAAAAACCTTCTCTCTGTCAGCAGAAAGAATTTGTAAAGTCTCTTAATCTGTTGGGGATATTTTTATTTAACTGTCCCTCTCTAATTTATTTATTTACGATTATTTCCCTCCCTCGTTACAAGTATATACACTTGTTTGTTATTTTAGTGTGTCTCCCCTTTTTGCTCTTCATTGTCGTTAATATTTTTTCGTTGATCAACGATTGTCTCCTGATGAGATGTTGGTTAAAAGGGCCTTAGAGACTTTTAAAATTAAAATCAATACATTCCTTGTTTTTAAAACTATACACACACACACACACACACACACACACACACACACACACACACACACACACACACACACACACATATATATATATATATATATATATATATATATATATATACTAGCCTGTCGGGCGGAATTTAAGCTAGCTCCTTGGAGGGATCTTCATCACAAGAAGTAGGGAGGAGTAAATGCGATAGGCAACAATAAACTACAAAAGAACTCAAAATTGATCGCTACTTTTCAGAATTGTATTAATATTCAAGCTTACCGTTTAAAAGTTCAGCGATAATTCATTTGCCGCCATTAAATTTAAAGACAATTTGATGTACGTAGGTCCTTACTTTCTGTATAAAAAATTTTATTTCATGGGTGACTTTTGCTGGATTTCGCAATTAATTTATATTATTACCAAATTTATTCCCAAGTTAAAAAAAAAATGTTATCATAAAAAGAATTTCGTTTAAAAAATCACATAAAAAATCGGTTTGGGTTTGCGGGTCCGCATCCGGCCTGGGATATTTTTAATTAGCTCCCGATGTCGGTGTCCAAAATGCTATGATATGTTGGGCTGTCGAAGTTGAAAAATGTGCAGTGACACACTGACATTCATTCATATATATATATATATATATATATATATATATATATATATATATATATATATATATATATATATATTCACACAGGGGTATATCAAAAATACTTTTTACAATGATTGAAGGTGGGTTCTTCACAACAGAATAAGAACAAATGTCCATATCCTTCGTTTTTGAGATATTAAGTTTAAAGCTATTTAGCCTGTAGAATGTGTTCTTCGTGGCCAGACGTACGAACGGATCTTGGTGTTCCTTGATCCATATTTTGTGTTTCTGACGGATCCTTTCTCAACAACGCAAAGATACACAGCACCAAAAGTTGGATGACTCGGACGTCTTTGGTCTGGAAACGTAATCTAATAAAGCCGTACAGGCACACGTGTCAATCATCATTTGTTAAACAGAACACTTCTCAGTTAACTCACTACTACACACGTTAATAGGCAAATTAGTCACAAATATAACCCAGTACTCATGGCAACACAGCGCCATCTACCGTAAACTTTCTTTAAACTTAATAACTCAAAAACGAACGGTGTGCGGACATGTTTATATATGAACATTTGTACTTATTTTGGTGTGAGGAACCCAAAACCAAAGTTTGTGAAAGTATTTTTGATACACACTCTCTCTCTCTCTCTCTCTCTATATATATATATATATATATATATATATATATATATATATATATATATTTTGGCCTTTCAATAAAAACAAAATAAATAACAAAACATATGTATTTTCCCCCAGTTTCTTCTTTAAATAATTTTATAATTTTTTAAACTTAATATAGATTAAATTTAAAATTTAAAATTGGTAATTTTTAATATTTAATTTTATAGTATAATTTAATATTAATTAGTTAGGATGAATTTTATTTTAGTCTAACCCTAACATTAAAGCATTAAATAATTATTATAACCAAGGTTATTTTGAATTCAAGTTTTTTGAATTCTCATATACTTGTATTTTGATTGGTCATTTCAGCTTATATAACAGCGTTTCCCCTAGTGAGGAGTGTTTGATTGATTTGAACCTTTAAAACCCTTTATTCTACATTCAACAACATCACTTGATAAGACACCGGAAGTGTTGAAACAAAATGGCTATTTTCGTACTGATTTTATAACATATTTATGTTATAATTTTAGAATAAATAATTATATATATATAAATACATATATGTATGCATGTATATATATGTATATATATATATATATATATATATATATATATATATATATATATATATATATATATATATATATATATATATAAAAAAACTAATATTCCATGGTCATAGTTTATTCCATTGGAATCGTAAATACGATCCAATTCAAAAGATACATGTATGTGTATGCACCTATGTATATATATATATATATATTTTGCATATATATATGTATATTTACCACTAATATTAATATATATATATATATATATATATATATATATATATATATATATATATATATATAGATAGATAGATAGATAGATAGTATGCTTTGGTAATAGGAATTCATTCATTATTTATTTAAATTAAACGTCAAAGATTGTTTAAAGTTTTATTACAATTTTCAGTTTGTGTACAAGATGTTGCCCATCCATTTCCGATTTATAAAGAAGTTCATACTAATTTTGCTTGAATACTTTCGATCATTTCTAATCCTTATCCAGAACATTAATCTCATCAGTCACAGAAGAGATAGGTTTTTATT